TCATTTTTTAGTTTCTTTAACTTCAATTTGTGCAGTTAGTTGAGTCTGCTGTCTCTTTAACTGTTCAACTTCACTTTAAAGTCTTTGAATTTTATCTAATAATTCTTGCTTTTGCTTATTATGCCAATCCTTTGAAACTTCTAATGCTTCCAAATGAGAAATGATTTATTCCTTAGCACTGAATAGTTGCTGTTTTAAGTCTTTATTCTGCTGTTCCAATCTGCCAACAAAGCTTTCCACATCTTCCTCTCAGACCAGGCTGGCTGTTTCCATATGAGCATTGATCATTGACAAGAGTTGACATCTGTGTGTTATACCTCTCTAGAATAAAGTTGGTATCTGCAACTCGGGAGGTTGCAACCTGGGTTGTTGCTGTTATAGATTTCCCTGAATTCTGAGTTTTGAGTCCTGGGTTGCTGTCTTGTTGGTGGCATGCCTACTCACTGACAACCCTACCCCATTTAAAAAATAACAAATTCAGTTGGTCAAATAAAAATTAAAGAAACAGAATATTTATGGAAATGATTAATTTATACAAAACACACCAAACAAAACTTGGACCATTTTATTTTACTAACATCAGAGCCCAAATGCAATTTCAGGGTCACCATAACCTCATGTGCTTGAAACGAGCTGCAGGTTCTCTTAATACTCCTCCCACAGATCCATCCTTAGAGGTAGGATCATTGCAGGAAACTTGTCAGCTAACATGGAAGCCTTCTCTGGTCTGGGTGCTGTGAGGGAAGGTTATCAAAAGTGTCCTTGATGATTGATGCAGTCTCAGTAAACTCCAGGGCCACATACCCCTGAAAATTTTGTTGCATCATTGTATCTCAGGGCAAGTTAGTCAGGTTAGCCTTGTGTACATGAGGAAGAGGAGAATAACTATAAAGTGTTCAAGGTAGAGTGCATGCTTCAACATCTGTAAATTTCCGATAACCAAATGTTCATATCAAAATGTTTCATATTAGATATTAATAATGATTACAAAAAGCCAAATACCAATTGTTTACCATCTTGATGAGAATCTTATAATTACCTAACAAGATCTGTTCTGCATTTCAATTTCAATAATATACATTTATATAAAATAAAAGATACCACATTATATCAATACAAATTAAAAAAAAAGTTACCTCTGGTTAGTTATTAACATGTTTCTTTTTAGAACCAATCATGCTAAACAACAACACTCACATTTTGTCATCTGTCAAAAAATAAATTGTTTTTCCAAAAAAAAAAGAAAAATAAAAAAAATAGGGGGTTCATACATAAATAATTAGTGTATGTGTTTGTTGGTTGATCAAATAACAAGTTCTTTTCTATATATAAAAAAAAAACATACCCCAACAAAAGCAACAAAATAAAAGAAAACAAACCCACAATAAAGACAAATATTATGGGTAAGTATTGTTTATTGTAAGAATGGTGGTGGTGGTTATTGCCACCACTCAGCATCACTTTAGTTATTTAAAAAAAGAATGATGGTGATTATTATAAAATTAATTATGACAAAAGTAAAGTAAGTAAATTATATTCTCCTTCAAATGAACAAAAGTGACTATTTTAATGAATCTGATTTTTGATGTAATCCAATCCCTAGTTACATGAATTAAATTGCGAACAGAAAATGGTTTTTGACAAAGTTGTAAACAAAAGCCTTAACATATTTTTTACTGGTTCTGGTGGTAACATTACCATTAATGATTGTTTAATATATTTACATATATATTTTTTTTGTTATTAGTTATTGAATAATTTAAAAATTAAACCTATTTTGTGGGCACCAGTAAAAGTTTATTATTAAAAAAAATAATAGTTGAACTAAAAAAAATGTTAGATAATACAAAAATTGGTATCACTGCAACAACTGGCATGCTGCGACAAACATTGATGGAATAACTTTACAATCATTTTTAGGTTTAGAAGCATCAAATGATTTTTCTGCTAAAGACTTATTAAAAAGGATTGAAAATTCATATCATGCAATTAAAAGATGGACAGATTAAGATTTCTAGTCCAAACTGTTTCCTCAAAGCCCAAACTAGTTGGGGCAATTTGGGCTTCTCAACATTTTATAAGCATGAACATTAAAAAACTAACTTGCTTTAACTTAAACAACTTTAAAATAATTTTGCCCAATTTTGGCTAATAACAAAAAGTAGTTTGGGCTTATAAAAAAATAATTTTTGCCCAAAGTATTTGGGCAATTTGGGGCTACTAATAGAAGCAGTTTTCGACCAGAAACCTTAGTCTTTAATCTAACCAGCTATAATAATTAGAATCTTCTTTCTTACTGGTAGCATTAAAATTTCTATAAGACGAATTCTGTTAATAGAAGTCCCTGGCTGATCTAGTACATAATAATAAATATATAGTTGAAATCCTGAAACAAGAATTCCATAAATTTCCAAATCATTTACATCTGAGTAATCCATATTTTGGCCATATTTGTTATAAAGATATGACACAATGCTATTGTGATTGTCCTTCATTAGCTTAAATAGTTTATATTTATCTGAATCAGTTTTTTTTTAGACTGTTTTAGTGGGTTTCTAGCAACTTCACCAACTAAATATTTGAAATGTAATTTTTTTTTGATATTTTTATCAGTGCTTTGGTATCCAGATACTCCTTCCACTATAAAATCAGGCTTTTTTCCACTCTTTGAAATTTTTTAAAATTTTCAGAATCCATCTCATCTTCTTCATTTTCAGATGAGGGCAAATTACATCATCATTTGGAACCATGTGATTCTCTTTCATTAGTAATAAATTTCATTCCAACAAAGCTACATTCCATTATTGTAAATGGAAATGTGATTGCATTTGCTTGCCAACTTCCTTCATTCTTTCTTTTTTATAGTTACTATTATGTTGAATATATTCACTAAAAGATAAATAAATAGTTAAAACAAACTGGTAATAAATTTGTAAAACAATAAGAATATAAAAATAAATAAACAATTACAAATGATCTTTAAATTTCTTGCATGTGCTTGCCTGGTATAGTAATACTTGTTGATCTTTTGATTGTGCAAGAAAAAGTTGAACTCATTTCTTGCCATTCTTTTTCAGAAAACCCGGATTTTAGCCAATGTGGTGGTGAAGATGTATAAATTATAGAAGACAGGATTGGGTCATTTTTGATTGTAGAATCTGATTCCCAATTAATAATCAATTGTTTAATCTTCATTTGAATATTAAATCCATCAACCAACCATGGCCATCTATTGAATTTCATTTCATTTGTTGTAATTATTGATATTTTTTCTTTAAGGAATGGAACCAATTCAACAGTTGTTTTAGGTACCTTGGTTTCCTGTCATTTTTTATAAATATAGAGATAAATTGGTTAATAATCAATCACAATTATTTTTGTATATAGTAATTTAAGTTTTTATGTGATTCAGGATTTGTATTAGAGTTTCCTATCTAAACCACTGGTAATTTCCAAACAAATTTCAAAGGGGCAATTCTAAATTGTATTATCATGCCTCCAAACAAATAGAATATGCCATCTCCACCACAGAAAGTCATCAAAGTGCAATTACCAACCACCCAAGCATTTGTGAGAATCATTTCTGCTGCAGAAAGTCATCAAAATGCAATTTTTCAAACCAACCACCGCAAAGCAGACAAAGTGATTACAAAAATCATCTTGCTACAGGAAGCTATCAAACCACTCTTACAAGAATCATTTCTGTCATAGAAAGCAATTTTCTATTGAACCACCCATCACCAAACAGAATAAAATTTTTAACCATCATGGCATTTTCCATCTCAATTCAATTCTTCATTATCACCATAATAATAATAATATTATTATTATTAAACATATACATTTACCTGTGAATCTTTTATCTTTTGTATATACATTCCAGTATCAATAACATTTGCTCCTAATTGGTCTAAAGACTAGTGCCGTAAATTATGATTATGGTAGTAATTATATTTACAGCATATAAAAAGTGGTTGCAATTACCTTTGTGACCACTTTTGCAACCATAATTTTTCCTTTTTTGGATTACGGCATTAGTCTTTAAATTGGTCATG